AAACTCATAAAACTATAAAAAAAAATCAAGTTAAAAGAAAATAAAACACACATATAAATATTTATATTATTTACAAAGTAGACCATCCTTAATTAAAACTCTTTAAAATAAATAAAAACTGCACATTTCCTCTTCAAATATATGATTTACATGTATTTTATTAAGATTTCTAATATGAATAGGCTGATTGCAGTCTGCTTTTTAGCTGAATGGAAGAATCCGTGCAATCAGTTAATTATATTGAATGCCGGAAAATATTAATTAACTGTATGACAGGATTTTTATTCGACCTGAATCAATATTCTAGTTACTAATATATTTATGTGAACGAAAACAGGTGATCACATTTCAGAATATAACTGACGAAGACACTCTGAGGATAAGTCTCGTACTCCAGTATATTTAAGTTGTGGTCCATATGAGTTGTGTTATGTTCTGGAAGGACCCTCCTTTCCAGAGATAAGTTTTAAACACATAGATTAGTGTTACTATACTAAAGCATAATATATACAGCAGCAGACAAACCCTATCGAGAATTCGCGCTAATTTCTGCCAGTCTTCACGTACATTCTCCTCCTCGTCATTTAAAGCAAAATGTCTCTCAATATTTCTTTAACATCCGTCTGTGTTCTTTTGGAAGCGATACTTCCAGTAGTTGCTGATTTCCAGTGGAGAATACTGAGTCATTTCTATGTAATTTTTCAGTAGGACCATTCATATCCCATTGGGCGATTGTGTTTTTCGTTGGTGTCTTTTCATTCTGCAACGAAATAAACGAACTACATTATTTAAAATTGGATTAATTGTTGGGGCATTTCAATTACTGTTAAAGTATATTAATGCCGTTGGGCCTTCTAGCAGCACTAGTAAATTATAAGAAATTGTCAACAGTTTAAAAAAAATTGCTGTCTAGGTAAACAGCTTTAGTTTTTTCAGAAAACTGAACCATTGCAATATTTATTCTAGATAGCTAGATTGTCACGAATATCTGGATTCAGATAATTATTTTAATCTAGCCAATATACATGTATATAAAATATAAAAGTGATGAGAATATTTATCCCTTATCAAAAATTGTATAGTTTGCACAATATTTACCTGTACATTTATATTGGTGTTAGTCCTCTTCTGGCCTTGCGCAGTTGCAATTTACGTTTATAGGCTGCCGTTGGGTTCAGATTTTTGGCAGTTTGTAATTTCTAACCACCTAGAAATACACTATTTAGTGAATCTCCTTGACTCGTTCTGAAATACAAAATAGAAGGTTTTTCATATTATATTTATAGTGGCACGTTTGTAACTTCACTTTTTCATTGGATAATCGTGACGTTTATATTATTAGTTTATAAAGATCGTTGACAGGTTATATGGCCCTATATAAACGGCTATTTATATTGCAAACATCCGTTTATATATACGGCCATATAACCTGTCAACGATCTTTATAACGAATTTATTAATACAGCAAGCATCATTTTTTTTAGAGAAAAAAAGTAAGATTTTTTCATGAATCGACAGCAGCCGTGTATAGTGTATTATAAAACCATATAAACGTCACGATTATCGCAATGAAAAATGACGTTTACAAAACGTGCAGTATTATAAAGTTTTCATATCAGCTTTCCCCGTTTAAGGGGGGCTGGTTAAGGTCGCTGACTTGAGATCACAGGTCCCTCACTGCTGTAGGTTCGATCTTCACTCGGGTCGGAAATCTTTCATTTCAGGAAGCCATTCAGCTGGCTTACGGAAGGTCGGTGGTTCTACCCAGGTGCCGCTCTGACTGAAATAATGCCCGAGGGCACCGCGGGGTCTTTCTCGCACCAATAAAAGCTGGAAAAAAAAAAATCGAACGAAAAATCTCGCGGGGGAAGCGTTCTAGATGGCCCCGACTTGAGTGTACGGTTTCGCCCCCATTATTGGGCTCTCCGGCGGCGACCTTTTGAAATAAACGCATTAAAAAATCCCGTTCTATATACCACCACTGCCACCAATTTGCCTTTTTTTTGTATTGTTAAATTAGTTTATAAATATTTCGACTGGTTTTAAAAAATGACGCGTATACAAACGTTTGTTTGTTATATAACCCTCGGCCTAGGCGGATGCGGGATTATAATTTCCAATTCAAACGTTTGTATAGGGCCAAAACTAATAATATACACACTATTGTCAATTTTTATGAACCTAATTTCATTTTTTGTTTCAAACTAAGTAAGTGTGCTGTATTATAAAATTTCGTTATATTATATTTTCACATGTTAAATATGACCGGTTTTATTTCAACGGTTGTTTGCCAATGGTAACCTGCGCCTAAACGACTTGGTTATATAATGAATATTCGTTTGTATATGGGGTCGTATATAACCTGTCAAAAAATATTCCCATTATGTAACAATTATTCATGTTGAGCTTTTTAGTTAATTTTTTGCCAAATGTAGAAAAACACAAAAACATTTGTTTTATTTACTGAATTAGTAGCTTTTCGGTCAGGCATGTTTTTGATAGTGTGGCCATTACAATATATTTTACATATGAAGAAAATTAAGAAATAAACTAACCTGGACATAAACCTTTATTTTCTTTTTTTATCCATAGTGTCCAACACTGTCAACAATTCGTACTTATTTGAAAAACACTGATTTCTAAGGATTCTGCCAGAAATATCTTCGCGGTCCATGACGGAACTGTTTAAGCCCTTTTCACGGGGCCAACCTCTATGATGCAACGTTCAACACAAAACACTGACCATCACTAATGACAAACCAACCAGGCAACATTGACACAACGGGCGGAAATATTAAACCTTTGCGAAGGGATGTAAAATACCTTACTATTGGAAAACCTCTTACAGATATTGCCATAATTTTACAATACTTCATGATTATTGGCTAGAAGTTACTGTGATTTCAATCTGATCTAAAGTAGAAAAACAAACTGGACGTCCGACGTCACATTTGGGGAACTAAGGTGGGTAACGAAAACACAATTTCCTGTGATCAACCAACTCCTGTGAACTAAATTCATACAAGTTGAATTGTAATAAAGCTTGCAATGCATACTTAACATAATAACCCTTCGGCATTGAATTGCGTTAAATTGCAGTAAAATTAACGTAGGGTTTTTCCTTTCTACACGGTGGTTTGTTTTTTCAACAAAGCGCAAATGTTTTACTTATGGTGAATAGGCTGTTACAGGTTAGTACGGGCCAAATGGCTGTTGTACAATCAACAGACTAAGAGACCATTTTCGTCCAGTAAATATATACATTTATTATGTGCAGTAAATTTTAATTTAGCAAATAGAAAATATGTTAATGATACAATCAATGAATCAAACGTTTGGTTCGGGTTGATGATTTTACTGTTAGCCAATGCAAGCATTTTGCATGGATGACAGCTGGTCCTACGAATTTAAATCAAACATCTTAATTGAACCATTTACGATGAAACATTAACTCATAAGTTCAAGTTTGTGTAGATTTATTTTAGTTTGCAAACACTTCAAATTATATAAAACTATTGAATGAATAATACAAAGAATTAAATTTTCACCCCAAAGACCTGTCCAATGTTGGACTTTAAATGATTCATTTTTACCTCTTTTTAAAGTTTTAGGATTTTCTTCAAAGCAAAATCCAAAAAAATCCTGAGAGATTATGACCTATGCTGAGCATAAGTAGTATACAGGACTCTAGAAACAGGAAAAGCAAATGATCCCCTTTCGATACTATACAACATATTGTTTGTTATGAAACAAACGTACGCCAAGAAATTGGGAAAGTCATCAGCATGACGGTGGTAGAAGTCAGAATGGATGACCAGTAGAAACACTGACTGAGACAGCAAAACACAAGTAACTTCTAATGAAGATTTTACCCCCGCGCTCTCAGCTGTCAGCAGAACCCTGAACAAAATAGGAATATTTTCATTAGGTACAATAGTATATTTAAAGCCGCTTCACGACAAAACCAACATAGTGGGAGGTGTTGCGGACGCAGCATGGATCAGGACGGAGGCTGCGCATGCGCGCAGTACTGATCAGGATCCATGCTGTTCGCTTACCAACTCTATTACAAGTAGAGAAACTGATAGCGAAAAGAATGGATCCTGATCGATCAGACTGCGCGGATGCGCAGGCTGGTCTGGATCCATGCTGGTCGCAAACCCATTATGTTGGTTTTGTCGTGACGCGGCTCATTTTTATTAGTAAAACAATAGATTTGCATAAATCTAGCAATAAACGTTATTAAAAAGAATAAGATCAAAAGTTCATAACGGCACCAATAACTTCGTTTTTGTAGACAATGCAACAAGAATAAATAACAAAAGTATATCTAGCATGGAGTTAAACAAACAACACTTCCTAACTTACCAATCGCTGCAGTTGCTCCTATCAAAATACATGGAAATAACATCGTCATTACGTAGTGATCCGGACGTTCTGGCCATAATAACGATGAAATTGACGTCAGCATATGGTTCTAGGTACATAATTACGTTCCGCTGTGCTGTAATTTCTGTTACTATCCACTCGTTATTCGTTATGAACGAACTCAAATCTCCATATGTTTAGATAAAAATTTTTTGCGTAAAAAATTTTTGAAAACAAGCATAAACAAAACACTTTAATACATAAATAAATAAGTATGGTACGATCATTTTGAAAAAAACATCTTTTAAACAAAATATTTATGGATTAATCAAAAGGTCATTTTAAAAGTCTAAAATAAAAACTTTTGGTTTGAATTTACATATTTAACTTTAAAATTTCAAACAAAAAACCAAAAAAAAAACGTTTTAAAAAATTTTAATGTTAATAAAAGAAATTTTTCGGGGACTTTAAATTTTAAATGTAATATGATTTACCAAATTTTTCACTTAATCAAATTTTTAAATTTAGAAAAAAAAAAACCATAAAAAATAAACATCATACCGGGGGTTTCGGAAAAATTTGGGGTAGAATTTAAATTTATCTAATTGTGTATGTGGGACCATGACCGAACTTCAAACCACATTCTTGTGGGTGTCGAACGGGAAATATGTGACCCTCACCCGACAGACGCTGTGTAACACATCGTTGGAAAGCCATAGTAGACAGTACCACTGCTGCTTAGTTTTGCCCCGGTATTCAATTAATCCCGGTAACATGACCTCTTCAGCAGAACTATCAATTAAACAGAAACAATAGTTATTTTCTTAATCTGATTATATCTTATCTACCGACTATTTTCCTAAAAAGTAAAAGCAGATTAATCAATATACGAAATCAGCTAATAAATTAAAAATCAGCTTTTTTCAACTTTAAATTATCTTCCTTTTTTATATTTATTTATGGGTGACCAATGTTACCATTTACCATCAATTAACATGTAGTCGAAATGCGAATGAATATCAAAAAAGTGAAGAAGTGTGTCGCAAAATAAAAGATGTTCGCTTTTGTTTTATTTCTAGTATTACATAATATTATACTAAAAAAAACAAATTATAATAGCAAAGGGTTTTTAACCATACAAAAAGAACTTTGTTGATGTTACCCATCAATAGTCTATCTGACATTAACATTGTATAGACATTACCTATCATAAAGAGCTAAGTCGGGCACCCAAATGGCTGAATAAGGGACACGAAGGGTGTCAATAAATCCGTAGTGTGAACTGTTCCATTTTAATTGACAGTCTGTCCAACCCTGTGGGCAAGAAGAATGTTTAATAAATAAATTAGTCTAGATAAAGTTCATGTCTATATTACACTGTAAGCGTGGTCGAGGGTTAATATGATAAAACATCTCCAGAAACACGAGGGCGCATGAAAGCCAGGTCCGTAGAGCAATTGATTCAATATGTCCGAGGGCTCTGCAGAGTGAACTAAAAATTATATTATATAAGCTCTATTTTGCATAAAAGTCTAATTCAGTCAATCCGTTAATGCATGTTTTGTCTACCTCTGGCTGCGTATAAGCAAATTTTCAATAATTTTTAAGTTTAAGCCAGTTTAAAAGGTGCAAGGTCATAACGAATAAGTCAACATTTTTTTTTTTCGAATCTGTAAATAAATAATGAAAACTAATAACAATTTAAAGCAAATTTCAATAATTTGCCTTGTAAATCGTAACAATCTAAGCAAATTTCAATAAAATTTTAATTGACCTTCTGACCGTTAATGTCAAAATTTAAAAGTCAAGGTCATTATTAGAATTTAATTCAAAACATGTTGGTTTTGTAATGAACTTTGTTTCTTTTGTCAAAAGTTATAAAAAAATCTGGTAAAAAAAATGACAAATTTATATATAATGAAGGCGGGGAATTACTTTGAATAAGAATTAGTGCTATTATCATCTTTTTTGTGCATTAACGTCAACACTTTAGGACTTATTAAATTCCTTGCCCCGAGAGCTCGGGATTTAATGAGTCCTCGTGCTTATGCAGATGTTAAAGGGACTCCACTGAGGTTTAAAAGCAATAAAAACATTACATTTGAATTTATGGGCACTTTAAACAGAAATATATGCAAAGATAGTTAAGAAATATACTTTGAAATAAATTGAAAATCGTATTTTTATGCTTTCCTTAGCCCGATTTGAGTGAAAAGTGTTTAAACGCTTTTCATTTTTGGTCTTTTTTTTTACAATTTGTATCATTATCCTGGAATAACGAAGTGCGCAAATTATCTGAAATTTTGCACAAAGATAAGTGGTCTTAACCAACATCAAATGGTACATTTATCTGGAAAAAATATTTTCAGACCCAACATGTCAAAAAACCTCAGTGGAGTCCCTTTAATTAACGACATAAATGTATAACCCTCTATTATATTTTTCTATCTCTCCAAAATAGTATGAATATATATTGTTATATATGTCTATAATACATTTTTAAACCTATTCTATTGTGTATAAAATTAGTCATACCATCCGAACCCAAATGTTTGACGTCATTATCTGTTCCTTCTCATTCTGTAATTACAAAATATAGCTACATGTTGTTATTTGAATAGACTCAAGTGTCTGTTAATCAAAAGCTTGAGTAATAAAATATAGAGAAGAAATGAATCTCTGTTTCATCAGAGACATAGATAATCTATGTCTCTGGTTTCATTCATCTAACGTATGCACATTCGGATAAATCCCAAATTGTAATTTTGTATAAACATCGCATGGCGACTCTCCAAATTTCAATGTGGAGTGTATCTCCGTGCGTTATTTCAGGCCAAGAAAGCATCTGAGTGGACCACCAAACTTCCGCAAGCAGGCTGGATAGCTACCTCACATGAAGAAATCGAAAGTCCAGACCAGGATTCGATTCCAAAGCGGTGAGGTGCCAGTATTGTCAGGTTTTTTAGATTCTGCAACAGATATAAATAATAAAAATATTTCAGCTGTTGACTGTGTTTTATAGTTTACATATTTCATATGTGCGTGCTTATTAATATCCACCAATTCTTTTGCAAGTTAGCGTGATCAATTTCTCGGAAGAAGCAGTAAGAAATAATTCGGTAAATTTCGGCATTTATGATTTTTTTAAGTGAAAGAACTTACCAAAATAAGAATTTGTCTAAGAGCTATATTTAAACTGACGTTCACATGACTTGGCCCATTTTTGCATACCGGTAATAACTCCGTATTGTAATTTTCAAACAGATCCTTATAGAGGGTTGAAGATACCAGTTCATCACCTGTACATCCCAACCATGATGATGCTAGGATAACTGAAATAAATTGTGAGCAAACTTGGCTATATAAACATACTGCATACATGACCTGTGTGTGTGTGTGTGTTTGGTTTGTTTACCCTCGCCACCGGAATGAACCATATGGGCGAGCACATACTTCATTTAAAAGTACATGACCATAGAAGATGCCAGACAAAATAGTGTAACTATAAACAGTCAACTGTCAGGTTAACAGAAAATGTCTACTCAGACCACGGACTTTAATTACAATAGTTCCCGATTCTTGTAATTAAAGTCCGTTTTAAGGAGCAGTAAAATAAAACAAAAAAACAGACACTTACCAGCAACAAAGCAAATATAACTGATGCGCATCCTCGTATTCATTTTATAAAATAAAAGTACACTATATAACACACTGATATTTCCAGAACTTCAACAGAAAATTTGTGGACAAAAAAGTACAAATCGCTACAATGTATTGAAAGAAAGTCGAACCAATCATCCAGAACATAAATTGCAACAAAAAAGTCTTTATTTATTTATCACACATCGCAATATTATAGCATACCTCTATTGTTAAGTTAACCACGTGACACATAACTGTTGTTCGAAATGACTTGATGTTATGACTTCTGGCTATGTGGTAAGAGATTTGAGAGATTATCTTTGCCAGTTAAAACATATCAAAACAAAAATTGTTGAAGACAATGTTATTTCATTTTTATATAATCTAAGCTAGGTACTTAATTATATTTTTTTCCGAACAGATAGCATATGGTGTTATAAAATATAATGACCTAGAGAAAGTTTTTGTTTCCGGTGATATGAATAGCAGGACTTCCGAATTTCCCTGATAATTTAGTTTTTGACAAGTATTTAGACCAAAATATATCTGTTTTGAATATACGTGATGTGCCTTTAAGAGTAAACAAGGATCACGTAATTGACAATCATGTGCGGCGCTTAATAGATATATGCCCTCGAGACAGGGGCGACTAAACGGTGACTTCTCAATTATAGATTGTTACTGACTTTTGAAGATTTTGATTCGCTCACCGATTTTGAAATTCTCGAATTTAATGAATATTCAGATCATGCATAAGAGTATAATTTCACCAGTTCCCAAGTCTTCAACCACAGACCCACGGGATCCTTTGTCATACAGGGGTATTTCATTGGCTCCATCCATGTATAAAATATACTGCTCTGTTTTAAATAATAGATTAGTAAAATGGACAGCTAGTAATAATATTATAAGTGATGAGCAAAATGGTTTTATAAAAGGTAAAAGTACAATTGACCAAGTACAGTCCCTAACAAATATTATTGAAACACGTAAACTTAAAAAGTTACAAACATTTACTGCTTTTATAGATTTCAGGAAGGCGTATGACCTTATAGACCGTACATCACTGTGGCAAAAGTTGCACCAGCAGGTGGGGATAGGGGGCAGACTGTTTCAGGCAATTTCATCATTATATAAAGATGTTAAGTGCTGTATACGCTTAAATGGATTTGATACACCTTGGTTTGATGTAAAATGTGGATTGAAACAAGGCTGCCCCCTGTCTCCAATGCTGTTTAACTTGTATATTAATGATTTAGTAATGTATATGAATAATTTAGACAAAGGTGTTTATATTGGTGAAAGAAAAATATGTATTTTGCTATATGCTGATGACATAGTTTTGTTGGCAGAAAACGCCAAAGATCTTCAATCCATGTTAGATGCTTTAGCTTTATGGTGTTGTCAAAATAAAATGACTGTCAATTGTGATAAATCCAATATTGTTCACTTTAGAGCCAACAGTATTTCCAAAACTGAACATGTTTTTGAATTCAATTCAGAAAAACTGGAAATTGTTCATAGTTATAAGTATCTTGGTGTCGTACTAAATGAATTTTTGGATTTTAATGAAATTGCAAAGACAGTTGCAATGTCTGCCTCTAGAGCACTTGGTCTTGTTATATCCAAAAGTAAGGCATTTGGTGGTTTTCAGTACTCTACATTTACAAAACTTTATGATTCAATGGTATGGCCCATAATTAATTACAGTGCCCCGATTTGGGGTGATAGATCTTACTCGTGCATTAATGCAGTTCATCATAGGGCAATGCGTTACTACTTGGGTGTTGGAAGATACACTCCGAATGTGGCTGTAAGTGGAGAGATGGGTTGGAAACCACCAATTGTTAGACAGTGGGTGTCTGTATTTAGACAGTATTTTAGAGTTATGAATATGGATGATAATAGAATTAATAAGTCTGTATATATGTGGTCTAAAGCAAGTAATGTCAAGAATGGTTTTTACCGACTTAAGAAACTTTTAAAAGATATTAATAGTAATCACATACTAGAGGCTAATATCGGAAATGCCAAACCTACCATATCAATGCTAGAATCTAAACTTATGGAAATAGAAACAAATAAATGGAAGTTATTACTTCAGAGAGAAAATGCCATTAGAGGAAATGGCGGGAATAAATTAAGGACTTACAGGAAGTTTAAATCTCAGTTCTGCACTGAAAAGTACCTTACGTCTAAGTTGCCATTTATGTATAGATCAGCCTTTACAAAATTCAGATGTGGTGTAGCACCACTAAGAATAGAAACAGGTCGCTATGAAAATATTGATGTAATGAATAGAAAATGCTTTAACTGTCCGGACACTATAGAAGATGAGAAACATGTATTACTTTACTGTCCATTATATAATGATATAAGGAAAGAGTTGGTCTCTGCGTTAGATGATGTATTAAGAAATAGAGATATTATATCTGATGATGACAAAATGGTTACAATTTTTAGTAGTGAAAACCTAGTATATTTATCTGCCAAAGCCTGCCACCATATTCTGTTTGAGAGAAAAAGAAAATTGTACTGTAAATCATGATTCTTTTATTTGTTTTTATGGAGTATCGTTTTAACCAATATGTAAATAATGGTTAGTAATATTTTAGATTGTTTTTATGGTTTTTTTTACAAATATATTCAAGAAGTAGGTTCCAATAAGTAGACGTGATAAAAATTCCTAATTTAAGATTTTTGTATTTTTTTATATTGATATAGGATATCGCTCTAATGCGCAATATTGAGCTTTGCCTTTATTTTAGTCATGAGTATTTGGTTGGAGGCTGCTTCTTGAATTGAACCATTGTAACAGATACAGTTGTATTAACATACAAATAGGTCTTATGATACTATAGGACTGCGATGTCTAGTCATGAATAAATCACACTTTCTTGTTTATTGCTTTACACCCAATATTATTACTATTTAGGTAAAACACACATACACATTATATCAAGGGTATAGTGTTTGGATGAACTTTCGGATGTGTGTAGGATCTGCATATATCTGGGCGTTTCTCGGAACACTGTAAACTTGTACACTGCTGTAACATTTAAATCTTACAACCAGCAATAACAACACAAACTACACAGAATTTCAACTAAAATAAATACAGTCTGGTTGTCTCAACACTTCCCATTATTTTATTTTTATTTTTTTTTTAAAAAAAAAGAAAAATACTTGGTTTTATTTTTAAGTAACTTTGTAGATATGTCCAGTATGTTAGATTTGTTGTAAAGTTATGTATAGTCTCTTATAACTCATCTATGAGTGGCATTTATGTACAATGTCGTAGGTTTTATATTTGTATTATTTTAATATTGTACATGATGATGAGACTTTAATAAACTATCTTATCTTATCTTATCTTATGCATCATTGTTGTTTACGTTTTCAAAAAAATAAAAATAAAAAAATGACAATGTGAAAAGCGAGACTAAACTATGGAGGGCGTTCATTGCCAAAATTCCAGACAGGTTCCTTTTGTATGCCTACCATTTTTTATTGTATCCGTGCATATCACATAATATGCCTCTTAATATAATCTTTTAATTCAAGGTTCCCGCCTTTGTATACCAAAATTTACATATACAATGTAGACCGTAACAACTCACATGGAAAACAACAACAAATTTATAAGTTGTCACTTCCATTGCAAACAATACATGTGCAACTTTGCACACTTATAGATATCTATCTGTACCTGAAGTCAATGTAGAAAAACCGTGTGTAAATCATGTTTAATGAGACAAATAAGGAATTCAAAGGTTTTTTTAAACCCTATTATTGTCTTTGGCCGTCTGTTATCAAATTTGATAGCATTATGTCTTCTAATTCAAAGAAAACTATATGTGCTTTATCTAAGTTTATTTACTTAGCAAATAGACAACGCATTTCATAATATCACTCCTAATAATACCTGAAAATGTAATGTTGTTTTGTATGTTGCATGTATATCTTTCAAAAAGAACTGACTTGCAACAGTGAATATAACTTTTAGTCTATAGGACTTTAGTGTTCTTCATGTCTTTATATGTAAAAAAAAAGATAGAATTAGTGAAGTGCAGACTATTAAGAATATTGTACGTTATTATATGAGCAATCTCATTGGTCCAAACAGTAGTCAACATAACTTTTTATAGAATCATATTCAATGACCATATATCATAGACTGTTAATTAAGTGTGATTATTAAAAATAATTGTTGCGTTTTGTTCTTTTGAAATATCACTATTTTACTATTATAGTTAAAAGTTACACCGCAATGATGAGTATAAACTTGGAATTACTTTTGTATGCGCAGCGTTCACATAGTTGTTGCACGCCTTCTACATGCGTCTTTTTTCCCGCGCTTCAACGAAACAGACAAAAGTTGTATATGTATAAGGTTGTACTTTCTGTGAATTTTCCTATTCATAAAATAAAACAATTATTGACTAGAATGCTTGTGGATTTATTATGTTTTGTCACAGTTATTGCCCTTGACTTAGTAAAAATTTGCAATTTTCAACTTGTGTCTCACAGAGCTAAAAAAAAGTTTTTGACATAGAGTCATAAAACGTTACAGGAATGTTGATCGGCATGTGAAGTTGTGCACCTGGCCCAGTGTTCACTAAGAAAAGATCAGGATCAGGATCAAGTGATCCTGATTTTATTTTCATTGTTTTATAGTACTAAAATTAATAATGTTTTGCTAAAATTAAATGATAGATATTCAAAATGTAAAAAATTGTCGATTTGCAAAGAAACCAAACTATTTTGGGATAAAATCAACAAATAACAAACCAAATACAAAAATTTTCGGATCAAAATAAGGATCAATTTTAGGATCAGGATCAATATTTGGATCAACTGTAAAATGTCCGTATCTTGCAAAAACTAGAACTATCACTAAATGTGATTAATACCCCCACAAGTCTGCTTCGGAAATGAGGATGTTACTAGTAACAGAATACCTTGTTTTATTATAGAATTGAAACATAGAGTTATGGTTGAGGGCAATTAAAGATAATTGTGGTTCATGTATGTTGCATTTCCTTTCAATGTGGTTGGCCATTGATGAAGTTTAATTGAATTACTCTGTAATAAGTCCAGAAAGACAAATAAAAAGAACAAAGGGCAATAACTCTATAAATACTGAAGATAGAGTTATAGTTCTTGTGCACTGCACTTCCCCTTATTGTGCTTGACCATTGTATGAAGTTGTTTTGAATTCCAACCAGTACGTTTTAAGTTATGCTCCGGACAAGGAAAAGTATCAAAGGGCAGTAACTCTGTATTTTGTCAAAATGGAGTTATGGCTCTTGTGCA